CCCCACACTCCCCCCCACCCGCTTTTTCCCGCCGTCGAAACTCCCTTAATTCCTTCCACGATGCTCTCACTTTTTCTTTGTAAAACAAAGGCGAAATCCCGAGGAGCGGAGGGGGAAGGCAGTGCCCGTGCCCCGAGAAGCTGGCCGTGGGTGTAAAAGGGGGCGTTTTGCTCCACTGACCTTGTGATCCTCCTCCTCACCCACCGCCCCCCTTTCAGCAACGAAAATGTGGTTCAGAGGACGCCTGCTCTCCGTCTCCCCTGGAGAGATGCTGTCTGAGCGCCTCAGCCCCGCTCTGCCCTGTGAGCAGCTTTCCAGGAACATCAGGGGAAGGAGAGAAAGGGAGGGGAAAAAAAAAAAAAAGAAAAAAAAAAAGGGAGGGATGGGGAGAACACACAAGAGCGGAGGAGACTGAGCACACGCTTTTCCCAGCGCAGGAAAACCTGGTGGCCGGAGGAAAGGTCCATTCTTGTCGCTCCTGCCACACGGGCGCTTTGTGTGTTTAACACCCGTACGAAATAGCTTCCTCCTTTCACCCTCCTGAGCCCCGTCGCACACCAAGGTGCAGCTCTACCTTCCCGGCCGTTCAAACAACCAGTACCAAAGACTTCTGTCAGGGCTTCCAGCCCAAAGTCTTTTATTTCCTAGTTTTCTTTGTTCTCCTCTTCGTACCAGGGGATTTTTGTGGGTCCCCGAGCATCCCTTCTCCTCTTCCCCCGCGTGTCGTTGAACTTACCCCAGGTTGTTTAAATTCACCAATCATAGCTATTCTCTCCCTCTTAAGGTTTGCAATTCAACTCTTTGTCCTTACAGGTACCAGCAGTGAAACAATCGTTTTAAATCTTACACTAAGTGTTTGCTGGTAATCATATGTAAAGAAAAAAAAAAAAAACCAACAGAAAACACAAAAAACCAACCCGCATTAAAAGAGTTATAGTTACCTTAAAAGGTAGCGTATTGCAGAGATTGCAAAAAATCACAACGTGGTGGCTAGGCTAGTCCAGAGATCCCAGTGGCCGCATGAAAGAGTAAATCCCCTCGTTAGTGCTGGAAGGAGACGGCGGTTCCGGGGTCTCCCCTTCTCCCAGAGCTCGGTCTCCCCTCCCTCCCCGCCGGCGAGCACCTGACTCCGAGCTGCGGAGCCTGAACCGAGTTGTGGGCAACGGGAGCTCGCCTGCAAGTTCAAATGCGAGCCTCAGCCACCCATCATTATTATATCGTTGTACCGTCAGCGCTGCAGAGGAGGGGCGCTGGCTCGGGGAGAGGAGGGTTCACAAGCTTTGCAAAAGCCTCCTTGCAATTTGCAAAGCTCCCGCAGCTGCTGGGCGCAGGAGAGCCC